GTCCACACCTTTCCGCAAGAAACCCCGCCCCAAAGAGAGTGCTAGGCCCGGGGATTTGTGTTTGACATGTTCGTTTTGGGGTGTTTAGGCCTCTGAGTCTCCGCAGCTTGGTCAGCCTTGTCACCAGTGGGGGTGAGCTTCGCAGTCGATGTCAGAACCACATGTGGCTGTCTTCTCAACTCTGAGCCCTACATCACCCTGAATTCAGATCACCAATCCCGAACCGACTATTCGCTGAATCCTAAACCGGAGCCACCCAAGGCCCAAATCCCAAACCCACCTCACACAAAAAAAACAAGATACATACAGGGCTGTTTTTAACAGTCCAGAACATATCAGGTCATTGACATTGACAGACTGACCGCCGGTAGGTTGGAAGCATTCGTGTCATGTACTCTGTCGCGAGCTCGCAATATACTGTACTATTGCTACGTATGCTATACTATACTATGCTGCGTCGTACTACACTATACTGTGCTATGCTATACTATATTCTACCATACGACACTGGGGCTTTCTGAAGTCGAGTTGATGCTTGCCGCGGCTGGCTCACGTTGACTACCATAATGATGAGTATAATGATGGGCATGGACACTTCAGCCACTAGTGACTACAGTAGTGTCCATATTGTTGTCAGCATGAGAATAAGGTCTGTCATCCTGTTGTTCGCACTACTGTCAGACAAGGGCCAGTGTAAGGGGCGTTAGGGGTGTTCCGATGGAAGCATGCCTACGATGGTCGCGAGCACAGAAAGAGAACGATCCTGAAGGCATAGACCCCGAACCCATCCAGCGATTTCTCGAAGTCAGACATGACAAATCCGAAAGAAACAATCCGTGAAGAGGTCTCAAGAGCGCGGCACTTTTCGTGGACGTCGGAATGCAAAATCACGCTAAGGGATTCTCAAGCTACTTCGATTTTGCTGACTCTACAAGGCTGAGGTATCACTTGAGACTCGAGGGCCTGGTTTTGGAGTCTTGAATTCCATGGCTCCCTGCGGCATCATCTAAAGACCTACTTATGCAAACACGTCCCACTACAGCGAGGGTGCCGATAGGCAGGATCTGCGTTCTGCTGAAGATTCCAGAAAGTCTGCCCCCTGCAGCAACAAACCTGGACAGTACAGGGTGAAAATACCCACTACTTATTAACTTATTATATGTCCCCCCAAGAGTTCTTCTCTAAAGTACCCCTAAACCCTACTACACTTGTTAAGGTCCCTATACTCAATCCTCATACAACTCATCCTTGTTGTAGTCGTTACGGCCCCCTTTTTTGACAAGCCATGGCAGAAAGTAAGCCTCCATCCCCAGTTGACATTCGAAAATCATAAACTGGTAAAGGCCCCTATACATTTATGTACTAATCCCTTATAGCGACACTTATCGAACCATACTAGACCCTCATGGAACTTCGTAAAGATTCCCCATTCTCCCATAAGATGGAGGCCTCCTTCTCCGGTGGAGGCTCGGAACCTGCCTGGTTCGTAGGCAAAAAACGCAGGGGTCTGAAAGAGTAGGAGAGGAGGCCTTCAAAAGGTTCCGAAAAAGGGGTCGACGAGGATTCTAGAACAAGGGCTACCATAAGGGTTTTTATACAGGGGCCTGATTTTGGGGTGTATTCAAGTATACAGCAATAAGAAGTGCAAAACAATCTTAGTAATCCTTTGGACTTTTGAATTCGACCACTAGACCATTCCTTCCCGGTGCCTCTGTCTCTATACCCCCGCCATGTTCACATTACATGCGGTCGTCTTAGCGGGCCACACGCTGAACTTCATCACTTTCCCTGTGTTCATACGATTACAAATCCTGACGGTCCCAGGCATCTTTGCATACCAGAGCGGTCCTACTACCACTCGAGACAATCAAGAAAGACTACTGACCGTAATTGAAGATAGACAACTCCAAACTTCGCCCCCGGCCCCCGATGTGCCTTGACACTGAAGGGAGCCATCGGCTGCGAAGAATCCGGCGGTTTGGCCTCAACAGACACACTTCTTCCCCGACACGTGTTGGCAGTGTTAGTCAAGCTTCAGGCTTTCGGGCCCGTGCTCAGTCGAGCTTCTCTCCAAGTGTCGCCATATCTTTGTCTCTCTGTTTGTTTTTCTGTTCCCTTGTTTCTCAAACAGGTTCTTTTTCGGCATGTCGCAGAGCCGCAGAGTTGTAAATGCAATGAAGCTTCCAGTCTGAATCTTGGAATCCTACACCGTCCGACACCCTAAATCAACCCTTGAAGATTTTCGCTTCTTACTTCGATATGAAGGGGTTCAGTACTTTCATATATTTCAGATTGCACGGCAGAGTCAGGTAGAGGGTGTGTGTGGCTAAGGACATCCCTACAGGCCGCTGGAGACAGCTTTTTCATCCCCTAGGACGGACATGTCAGTCTCTCAGACACCCGGCTGTTTGAGCGCCATGTCCAGCTCCATTTCGTAGCTCTGGGTTTCTGCAGCCGCCATCCGTGCTTCCGCTAGCGCCAGCCCCGCCTTGCGCTACCGACTTGCCTGTGGGCGAGCCGTTGGCGATGATGGTCCCCAACCATCTTCTCCACCAGGTCGCCCACATGCAAGTTGGTAAGATTTCTTCGTCGTAATCCATCATTCTCTGCCAGAGCAGCGAATTCTCCATTTCATCGGTAAGACCAACCCAACACTCAAAACCGGCAAGGCGACAAAGCATTTTTCCCCGTCCCCCTCGTCCCCCGACACAGCTTGCTCGGTGTGTGCCATTGTGGCCCGAGTGCTTCAGATTTGCCTGAAACCTTTGTACCGCGCACGGTGCCTCGTGCAAGATGGCCGCAGGGAGAGCACTTGCACGAAGCACCGTGCTCCATGCTGGAGTCGGGGCTTTTTGGAACCCTGGTCCCAGAGCGCCCCGAGCGCATGGGCGGCCAGCGTCTTCAGATTGGCAGTCTTGATCGACAAACAGAAAACCAAAAGGGCGGATTTTCACGGGATCGAGCCGAAAACACGAGAGAAACGCCACCAAGAACAGATTCCGAGCCCAAGCGTGTTGCACCCTGGTGCGCAGCGTTGTTGCCGAGGTTTTGCAGACACTCTACAGCCCTATGAAAGGCGACGAAAATCATCGCAGAAACTTCCACAACAAATGCAAAGGCAGCAGAATGCTAAACCCAGTCGAGGGCTTACAGTGTACTGAGACCCTGAAACCAGCGTGAGTATGGCTTTTACACACATCCCTCAGACGGCCCGTCTCAGTCCAGGGCGAAAACAGACAGAAAGCCTGCCCAAAGCACAGCGGGAGGTGGCCTGACCAATGCGAAGCTCGTATGTGAGTAGAAAGTACAACTCCTTCATCTTAAGGTACACACGGGAAGTTTATGTAACATATGAAAAAGATAAGATACCAATATATAGCACAATATCTTTGAATCTCTCAAAGGCATCTCAACACTGACTGACATTACACTATGATGTGATATACTATAGCGTCATCCTTTGTATGTGCTGCAGTGTCTTCCAAAGTGGAGTTCATGGATGTTCAAACCAGACTACAGCTGTGTGTCCAGCGATTGGTTTCGTGAGTATGTGTCCTTGCCCCGGACCACCCACTAAGCATGGCTGAGCAATGGGAATGACGTTCATTGTGCTGCTTCCCATTCTTGTTGAACCAGAATGATCCTGATGCTTATTGAAACATGGCTGTGCCACATGGTGGATCTATATTATGCTGCCCGCCCATGCTTAACAGAAACAACAGCACTCAACAACTGGCGATTGTTGCAGGGAGCTTACTCTAAACGGTTCGATCCCGTAGGCGAAGGCACTGTCAAGCCAAAATCCCAAAGTTACACCTTAAGCCCGAAAAGGCGAACGCTGAGCCGAAAAGCCAGGCTAGCTTGACAAGTCCGACAGACCAAACCCCTCAACCGTCAAACAGGAACCCTAAACCTTGGTAGAATCCGAAACACAAACTACCCAGCCGCCTCTTCGTCCTTCGAACCCGGTCCGCCGGTTTGATTCGATTTAGCCTCGACCCGACGTGGAAGGCAAAGGCCCCGGCAGAAGGTGGCTTGGCACGTGCGGCGGCACCACGCGCTGGACCAGCCGGGGTACCAGGCCAGCCTTCTTCCCAACATATGTATGTACGTATGTGCATATATATATATATATATATAAATGCGTGTGTGTGTGTGTGTGGGTAGGTTTGGGTGTGTGTGTGTGTGTGTATGTGGGCATATGTATGTGTATGTGTATGATAGGCGCACGCCAATGCTTACAGTTGTGTGTATATGTACAAGTATATGTATGAGTCTGTATACACATGTGTATGTATGCGTACACTGGAGGTGTAAGCACATGTACATGTATACATACGTACAGTCATACGTGTGAAAATATCTGCATGCATGGAAAGATATGTCCCCCCTCTCTCCCTTTCGCCTATATATATATATATATA